GAATGAAAAAGGGATTATTAAAAAATATTATTTCTCATAAAAAAATAATGTTGATCCATACACTTTTCAATATGTCATAGCATTATAAAGTTAAAAATGTTAAAAATAAAATCGAGAATTTTCACACAATAATAGCATTCGGTAGCCATTTTCACCGTGAAGATAAAATAAAGTCCGAAATTTTTTTTTTCATAATAAAGTAAATTACATTAGCTTTAATTTAAGATATATATTAAAGTGTCAGACCTTCCGGAACATTTTCAAAATTTAAGTTCAAAAAGTAAATTTTTTGTGAAAAAGTTGTCATTTTAAATCCCCCCCTGTGGGCAGGTAAAAGGTCAGATATGAAAAAAAATATATACCAAATGATAGGTAAGAACATCATGCATCTACAAAAAGTTATAGCATTATAAAGTTAAAAATATAAAAAAGGATTTTTTTACAAAAATCGTATTTTTTTTATTAAGTTTGATGTCTGTTTTCACCATGAAGATAAAATAAAGTCCGAAATTTTTTTTTACCATAATAAAGTATATTACATAAACTTTAATTTAAGATATATATAAAAGTGTCAGACTTTCCGGAACACTTTCAAAATTTAAGTTGAAAAAGTTCTACTTTCTACATGCATTTTTTAGATTTGAACCCCCCTCGTATTTTGGTACTCATATTAAATGTAATGTAACTCGAAAAATATTTGTTTAAATGAAAAAATATAAGATAATTTTTTTGTTTATAATTGTCTTTTAAACAACTATTGTACGAAACTTTTTTTGTAAGTTAAATATTTTTTGAGAAAATTAAAAGAGCTCAATTTCAATCAATGAGGACTATTAGTATGTTATTATACATATTTTAATTCAACTTCNTTAGTATGTCATTATACATATTTTAATTCAACTTTTAATGGTTGGGAATTTTTTAAGAAATTTTTCCTTTGTTGACTGGCCTAGATGTCAATTTTAAACTTGTAATTGAGCTAAAAATTATGGTAACATATTCAATTTTTTTACTGTAAACTTTCACAAAACTTTATCAAAAAANTATTTTACTATAAACTTTCATAAATCTTTATCAAAAATTTTTCATCAACTTTAAAGAACCAAAAAAATAGGTTAAAATTGAAAATTTGGACTGATTATTTTTAACATATTAAAAATCAAATCAGTAATAATTTTAAAACAATTTTTTTTTTCTTTTAATTATTATTTTATACGTAATTAGTAATAATATAAAAAATTAGAACTGATAGATAAAGTCTTATTGCAGATTTAAAAACAACGCAAAAATTTGATTTAGAAAAGTATGTTTTTGCTTCTGATGAAAGTTCCTTGAAGTCCAGTGCATTCATTTATAGTAACAAACAGTTTTTATTGATAATTATTGTATCAAGCCCTTTAAATTTTTATACACGTAAAAGTAAAGCAAAATATAATTTCTGTATTATTTTTATAATTTTTCCGTTTAAATTACAATATTAAATTATTAAATATCAATTTCATACTAAATTAAAAANAATAATCCACCAATTGCCTAATTAAAACAAAAAAAAAAAAAGTTTGTTGGGAATTTTTTCTGCTATTCTGCAAAATTACTCCTTCGTTGACTAGAATGAATCATTAAATAGAAAATTTTATGAGAATTAAAACAATGTTATTTTTAAAATTAATATGCAGTCAGGAAATTTTATAATTACTATTTACAGTATATTTATCAAAAACACTCATTATTTTTTTGCATTTTTATCGTAATAGAACACTTAAATAGAAATCATAATATCATTTCTAAGTAATTTTTGGTATTTAAAAAGATTCTACAATTGAAATATCCAGAACTGAATTAATTTTAATGATTTACTTTAACTAAAAAAAAAAGTTATTATTTTGAATCCCTCTTGTGGGCAGGTAAAGGGTTAGATTTATAAAAAAAA